AGGAGAGGCCCAGGGCTCTGGAGCACTCTCACTCCTCCTAGGATAAGGTCCAGTTGCTGCAGACAAGCACCTCCTGGGCTCGGATCAGCAGGAGCAACAGAGAAAGCCTTTGCAGCCTAAAGTGCAGATGAGCCATTCCCACCTGTAGGGCACCTCAAAACACACAGGTAATCACATACACCTGAAACCTAGGCTGCCTCTCCCTTACTGGGTAGAGCAGCATAATGGGAGATCAGTGCGGCAGAATAGCAAGTGCTGAGGACCAGGCACGTAGGCTAAGTGGGATTTCAGGGTAGAGGATGCGAGTCCCAAGGGCTGAATGCTAGTCTGAAGTGGGAGCACATTCAGTGTGTCCCTGGGGCATACCTGTCATGTAAACGAAAGTGTGGGACAACAGGATTTGCTTCCATGGCATTTTCCTGTTTGACACTAAGCATTAATGGTCAAAGGCTTCCCATACAATCAGTGCTCATTGCACCATGGCAGCACATGCAGACCCCAGGTGAGGAAGGGCATGGGTGACACCCACCCCCAAAGATGCTGTTCTTGTCCCAAAAGGCACAGTCCCATCTGGGAGTGTCTGTGCAGCTGAGGTTGCAGGCACAGAAGTGCCCTCCAGCTCCAGCGCCCGACAGTCACCTCCTTCCTCCCACTGACCAAGGCAAAGCCTTTCCTCTCCTTCTGCCCTGGCATGTGGCAGTGAGTTACTCACTGCTGCAGGAGGGAGGGGCTTTGGAAGGCCAAGAACAGATACTTGCCTTAATTAAATGAGTTGTGCTTCATGTCGTTGGTTCTGCAGATCCCTTCTCCAAGGAGGACTCTGCCCAGAATGTGACTTTTCCTTCATGATGCAGCTACTGAGAGAGTAAGAGGCTGTCCCAGCATGAGCGTGACAGAGACCTGGGTCTCGAGGGGCAACAGATTCTGGGATAAAACACACAATGGCAGGTAAAGAATACATGGGCACCCTGTCCTGTGATTTTTGTTGCCTTTTAGAGCAGGGGTATTCAGTGCCACACTTGGTAACCACCACCATATTTCTGCCACAGGAACTGCCCTCTTGACTCCACCTTGACTATCACAACTACCAGTTGTGATTACCCACATGGTTCTTACGCAGCAGACTTTGTGAAGGTCATGAGAGCTTTTGGGACAGGGACATCCAAGCCCTTTGGCAGGGTAAAATGGCATCAGAATTAGAAGTAACTCTAGGAAACTGGAGCAGTTGTCTCAGATTTTCAGAAGGAAATCGAATGAAGAGAAAGTGCTTTTGGGAAGATTACATGAGATGGCTTATGGCTCTTGAATTAAGAAGAAAAGGAAGTGGAGGTTGTAACCCATCACAATTTAACACTGAAAATAAAAAAAAAGGTTATTTTGATATTTCAAGGGAATTTTTTTGTTTTGTGTTTGTGTTTGGATGTTATGCAGGCCTAGAATGTTTCTGTAGCAGGAACAACTCACTGGATTGGATTGGTAATTAAGTGAATAAGAAAAACAGCATCTTTACTTTAGACAATATATCTTGAACAAAATAAAATTATTAAAATATCTACCATAAATTATAAATACCTTAAATATATTATATACCTTACTTGAAAATTATCATATTCCTTGGGATTTTAAACTCATATCACACTTACTTGATGTTTTATTTTGCAGGGTTTTTTTTTAGGATTCTTACAACTTGCTGTAATTTTCAGTCTAAACTAATCATTTCAGACAACTTGTGCTCTGCCTGAAGTCATCTTTAGACAGATTATTCTGGTCCTACATATTCTCCAGGGAATTACAGTGCAGCTTTATTAAGAATCAAATATATTACTTTATTAGAACACATGTAGAACACCAATGAAAAACTAAAGTTTTACTGTTCTTGTTTTGTGACTATTTGCTATGCGTGGGGGGCAGAGATGACTTTGCATTGATACACTGTTTTTACAGTTGTCTGTCATGTGATCAGTACTAGTGCAAAGGTCCTGAAAAAATGTTGATCCATAATGGCCATAAAGAGAAGCCTCTCAGAGAAAAGTTTACAATAGATTAAGTTATTGGGCTCAAATAGAGCTTCTGACCCACATGGCAGGGATTGGCAGGGGATCTCTGGAACACAAATGCTGTGTGCCAGCACAAATGGCCATAAACATTTCAGACACACTTTGTCGTTAAAGGCAGATTCACCAGTTCATCTGTGAGCTCCCCATCACACCCCAGGCAAGGAGGAACTCACCTGGCCCCTCAGCTTTGCTGCACAGCTCTCATGATAGTGCTCTTACACCCCTCCAGCCCCACCATGACAGCACGGGACTGCTGGGAGGAACACAGCCCAGCACACAGCAAGGTTTTGGAATCAGAGCTCAAAGAGGTAAAGTCCAAGCTTAGCCACTGTGTGAGTGCAAGAGCAGTGTGGGGTCATGGGATGGCTCTGGTCCCAGAGCCTACAAAGTTCTCTGCTCCAGGAATACATGGCAGGCTGGAAGGACTTGTCACTGAGCTGAGGAGACTGATCTGTGCCACCTGGCATGGCAGTGACCAATGAAGTGCTCATTGCACATTTAGCTGATTAGATTATTAATAAAATAGGGTAATTTTGCATAAATACAGATATATCCCATCCTTCAGTAAGAGGTGTTATCCTATTATTCTTGAAAATTAAAGCAAATTTTGAGAATCCTGTTTTTTCAATGTAAATAATGAACATGGTAATTACCAATGGAAAATGTGGTATCAAAATACTGCAAACTCTTTCTGCGTTTGAGAATGTCTCACATAATTTAATGTTCTGATGTATTTGTTTTTGAAGAAAGGAGGTAAACATTTTTTATATAATTGCAACACTCAGAGAAACAAAAGGTTAGTTGTGCAAATCTAAACAAGTCTATCTCCACAGTGTAGCTTCCCCCTGTTTCTCTTGCAAATGCAGTCAACAGAGAAACGAGACAATCAAGTGTCTGCTAGTTTTATTTCATGCTGTTCTCATTTCTTCTCCTTCCATGCCACTCTCCAACTCCTTTTGCCTTTTCCTTCTCCTTCCATTGCCATCAGAGCCTGTCCACCCCACTCACCTGTTCTGTAACTGAAGCTGTTCAGCTGCTTTGGCATGTGATGGAAAGGGCATCCTGAATGTCACCTCCTCGTCCAGAACCTACTGCTCATGTATCTTTCTCTGACATTTGCTGTCAAGATGGAAGGAATTTGAGTAACCATGGAAATCTCATGCACAGTCAAAAGCTGTTCATCATTAAATCTAAAAGTGCTGTGAGTTAACTGTCACTAATCTCTAGCTAGTTTTGCCCTCCCTCTTCACTTTGGAAGACTGTTACTTTTCCTCAGAGGCAGATACTTAGGTGTCATCAGAGCAAAATAAACACATTCTTAAGTTTAATATATATTGTTAAAACTTCAGAATGCACATCTGTTTTCCCTGCTGTGAGATCAAATAATAACTGTATCAAGCATTGTAGAAATCAGTCTCTGAAGGAAGGAACAGGATCAGATCACAAGGCCGCCTCAGTCCATCCATAGCTACCCTGAGACACAGGAGGTTCTGAACAGCCGCAGGCACAAAGGTCACTCGTGTTCTGTCTCTGCAATGGCCAAATCAGTAACTAGCTCAACCAGGTTAGTCAGTCTTTTATTTGTTAGGCTTAACACTGGCTTTTCCCTAGACATAATCCCCAACTTTTTTCCTGTCCATCCTTTTTAGCACTGCTCATCTGGACTCATAGCTCAATTTTCTGAAGGACACATCTTACCTAGATAAACCACCATTACCCAGTTTAAATACATTATGCCAGGAACAGAGAAAGTACTCATCGTATTTCATTGAATTCAACACAATATCTACCTTTCAATAGAATAAAAAGAACTTTTTATGTGAAAATCATCCTTACCATCTCCAGGATCCAGTGCCTAGGCACATCTTAGCTAAAGTGTCAGAATGAGAAGCTTTGCACCAGAGAATTAGTGTTCTGGCATTTCTCCTTGTCTCATGCCAGCATTCCTGAGAGGTCTTGTTTTACCCAGGGATCTTCAGTATGAGGCTACACATTCCTTATCGGTCCACAGGCACAAAGATCCCTCTTGGCATGTGTTATAAATATTAACAGCATAGCTGAGAATAGCATTTGCAAGCTGCAAATCCCACTGGGAATTGTCTTCAAAATTACTGTAAAACTAACATTAAGCAATAAAAAATGCCAAACATCTTTCTTTAAAAATGAACAAGAAACTTGGTGCTTATCTTTGCATTTTGTGAGCAATTCAGCATATGAGGCAACTCCTTCTGGTGCATGTTGATAATTTCATTCCTACAGTTAAAGCCTTCTCTTATTCCTGCACTCACATTCAGAAGATAATCTATTCTGGTAACTCTGTCCGTTTTCCAAATATGTGATAATAACCTATTTTGGCAACAATAAGAAATGTATATGTAGCATTTGGATTAGTTTTGTTTTCTTGGTTCAGTCTACTAAAAGTGATCTATTGCTATAACCAGAAGGGAGAGAATGAATTAAAAGGAGCATGTCCAGAGAAGGGAATGGAGCTGGGGAAGTGACTGGAGCAGCAGGAGCAGCTGAAGGAGCTGAGGGGGCTCAGGGAGAAAAGGAGGCTCAGGGGGGACTTTCTGGCTCTACAACTCTCTGACAGGAGGGGGGAGCTGGGGGGGGTCGGGCTCTACTCCCAGGGAACAAGGGACAGGGTGAGAGGAAACGCCCTCAAGCTGTGCCAGGGGAGGGTCAGGTTGGACATTAGGAGGAATTTCTTCACAGAAAGGGTGGTAAAGCATTGGGAAGAGATCTGGACATGGGGGCTTTCAGCGGACTGCTCAGAATAGCAGGCAGTAGACACACAGCCAGGTCTCAAAAGCATCAGCTAGAAGGTTGTCCAACAGACTGGAAGGGTTTGCAGAGCTTGCTAAACCCAGACAACTAAAACTTCCACATCTGAAACCAATACCAGAGAAAAGAACCTCATCCAGAAGGACACAAAGGTCAAGGAGAATTTTGCATTGTATGCTTTTTTACTTGAATTTTTTTTTTTTTTTTTTAGTGGCAGACATAGACCTCTCATCTGTATCTGTTGGCCTAACTGGGTTCTTCTTCCAGATCCCCAGGTCCTTTCTGCTCTATGGTTGGCAGAGGTTCTGTCAGAGGTGATCTGAAACATCAGAAAAATTGAAAAGTTACTGTTTAATTGTTGTTTTAGTACAAGGGGTAAGATAGAAAACCAGTGGCATAAATTTGTGTTACCATGTCTACAGAAGAATTCTGTGAAAAGAAGCAACATACAAACATGAAAAGCATCAGTAAAGATCATTTTTTGCAATATTTTGGTGATAAACCTCCATTGTTGTTTTCAATTATGCCTTTGAATTTTTAGGTTTTTTAGCTTTTTGTAGATTTTAATGTAGCTATATAGTCTATCACAATTTCGAATTGTATTAACACTCACCAAACCCTATTCCCCATTTTATATCGAATTTTCTAAATTCTTTAGGCTTGTTTAGGCTCCTCTCAAGGTAGAACTGTAGTAAACACCTTCTCTTTAAGAACATTTACACTCCAGGCCTGAAGAACAAGATACCATCATAGTCAAAGCAACCTTCAAGCCCGGAACCTTGGAGAAGCTCCAAAGACATGCTGTGAAGAGGAAGGTGAGGAAGAAAGGGGTCTTAGGACCTTTGACTCAATTTCCAGGGAGGCATGCCCAGGTGGGTAGTTCTCAGGTCAGACCATAAATTGCGGAACCCCTGGACATGGGCACGCACGCCTTGTTTGTACTCCCGTGGCCAGAAGGCCTTCATTAAAGACCTGCTCTATTATCTTATCTCTACTAAATTAGCCTGGTGAGGTTTTTTGGCTCCCTATCTTTAGGCAACACAATAAGTCTGTATTAGAACATGTATATATTTCAAGCAGACTTAGCAAAGTAATTTAACAGTATTAGACACAGAACTTACATTTACTGTGCATTTCTGCTATGGAAACCAAGCTGTTCCCTGCAGTGGGCACTTCTGAATAAAATGAGCACAAGATACCGGTGTCCAGTGGTGTCATGGGCCTTCCAGACACAGCTTCTTCTCCACTATGACTCTGGAAGAGTGGGAAGGGAATGAACTGTGAGCTGCTAATCAGTGGTGCCCTGTGTTGTTTGGAAGTCAGGGCTTATCAGGCGTTGCTTCTTTCAGAGCTGCCATTCAGGTCCACCATGAGAAGATGAAGGGATGCAGGATTTATATCATGTGTCAGCAGAAACCAGGCCTAAATCAAACTGAGGTTACTCCTTGGGAGCAGAGAGCTAGGAAGGCAAAAGACCTTTTTCCTTTCATATGCTCTGCCTCAGCTTTTTCATTCCTTCCTCTCACTGGATCTGACACCTTCCTACCCAGCCAGGCAGGTTTGTTGTCCCTAGGGACAGCTGTCACCTGCAAGGAACACATTCAGGAGAGGTCTCCTTTGATACAGATGTCCCAACATCACACTTGAATGCAGCTTGGAGCCCTAGAGCTGCGCCTGAGTGGCTCAGTGGAGGAGGCACTTGCACCTTCAGCAGGCTTTTTTGGAAGTCGTGTTACTCTGTTGGTCATATGAGATGTTTCTGAATGACTTGTGCTTGATGTTTTCAATCCCACAAAGTGGACAACAGCCTTTCACACACATGATCTGAACAGGATTCTGTTCGTATACATGTAGGACAATGAGTGTCTTTATATTCAGGTCAGAAATCACTGTTGGCTGTATTTGCTCTGGAGAAAGCCCTTGGGCCTCAGCTTCTCGGTGAGGGAGTCACAAAGAAACATTCAAATATGAAAATTATGCAGAAAGCCAGTGCAAAATGACATTACACAGACAGGCAGAGTTTTAGCAAGGTGTAGTGGGTTGACCCTAGCCAGATACCAGGTACCCACTAAAGCCACTCTCTTACTCTCCCTCTGCAACTGGACAGATAAGAGAAAAAAAAAAACCAGCTAAGGATTCACGAGTTGAGATAACAGCTAGGAGAGGTCACTTGCTGATTACCTTCACGGGCAAAACAGACTCAAAGTGGGGGTAGTACTTAAATTTATTACTAACAGGATAAGAACCAAAGAGTGAGAAATAAAATAGTCTTAAAAACACATTCCCCCCACCCCTCCTTCCTTCCATGTTCTCCCTCCTCTTCAATCTCTTTCCCCTGAATCTCTTTCTACCTGCATCTTTCCCATGCCATGCTATTCTGAAGCAGTAAAATATTTCAAGGCCTAGATCAGAGGACATGTTCATCATATGAGTATAATCAGTGTTATGTTGGAAACTACTGATGCTTATTGACTTGAATGAATTATCCCCAAAGATACAGTCAGTATGAAAGAAATGCCAATGCCAGCAGTGCAGGGCGATGGGGAATGGGGGTTACAGTCAGTTGTTTCTGCTGCTGCTCAGGGAGAGGAGTTGGAGTCCTTCCCCTGCTCCCGTGGGGTCTCTCCCACGGGAGACAGTCCTCGATGGACCTCTCCAGGGTGAGTCCGTCCTTCGGGCAGCAGCTCTTCCCAACCTGCTGTCCCGTGAGTCACTCCTCCATGGGGTCAGTCCCTCACGGATGAGCTGTACTGGTGTGGGTCCCCCACAGGGGCCACAAGTCCTACCTGGGAAAAACCTGTTCTGGCCTGGGCTTCCCTCTCCATAGCCTGCAGGTCTCCAGCAGGACCCTGCCCTATCCTGGGCCTTCCACGGAGTCACAGCCACCTTCCTGCATCCACCTGCTCCAGCGTGGGCTCCTCCATGGGCTGCAGGGGGGTCTCTGCACCTCGATGCTCCCCAACGGGCACAGGGGCACAGCTGCCCCACCCTGCTCTGCACCACAGGCCACAAGGGCACAGCTCCAGCACCTTGAGCACCTCCTGCCCCTCCTCTCCTTCTGCACTGACCTTGGGGTCTGCATTGCTGTTCCCATGTTCTCACTCCGCTCTTCCCTGGCTGGAGTTCTTTCTGCGCAACAACCTTCTGTTCCTAAATATATTATCCCAGAGGTGTTACTGTCACTCCTAGTTGGCTCAGCCTTGGCCAGTGGTAGGAAGTCCATCCTGGAGCCGGCTGGCATTGGCTTCATGGGACAGGGGAAGCTTCCTAGCAGCTTCTAACAGAAGCCACCCTTGTAGCCCCCCTGCTACCAAAACCCAGCCACAGAAACCCACTACACAAGGATTTCTCATTGCCCTGAACTGTTTTTTTACTTCGTTGCAATGAGGTACAGTGCCAGGACAAGTCTCACCAGGTGGGACTGCACAGCCTGTACTACACTCCTATGTCACTAACACAGAACACACTGCTCTCCAAAGTGTGGGACTGCAGCAGTCTTGCAAATCTGCATGAAAGGGGACAGGATTTCATCACAATTCTAAACTTTCATCTCCAAAGTATGCAGCTCCCATTGGAACTTTTGCCCTTCGAGACTGAAAAAGAAATGTTAAAGAGAAAAGTGTTAGTTAGCAATTAAAGAACTCTCCATTTTGAAATGAATGAGTTTGTCTCCTGGATTCCTATAGGAGTGACAGCTGAGATTAGTTCAAGCCCTTTCCATTCCAGCAAATCTTTTGCTGCATCAACTTCTTGTATACAATGCACCCACATGACCACATCTTCTTTCTCTGCTGCCTGTCCTTACTCACTCATTTGTTTTTCTTCTCTTTACGTTCCCTATCCCTGACCCTTCTCAGTTTCCCCATTGAGTGTGTTTCTCATCCTTCTCGCCCTCACCCACCATGACATGTCCTTGGAGGGACATGAGCCCTTTCCCTGCCCAGGCACAGGATGGGACAGACACACACACACTGCTCCTCTGCTCTCCCACCTGCACCTGGGCTTAGCCTATGCAGGCCTGTGGTCTGTCAGAGGAGCAGCACATCTGTGCAGATCCTGCATATTCCTGGTCCCTCCCATGGCCCTGAGTGCCTCTCAGTTCCTGGTCAGGCCATCAGGGACCCCAATCACCTGAGGAGGAGCTGAAGTGGCCCCAGGCACAGGAGATGCTGCAAT